AATAATAATAAGTATGAGGAATAATAGTATTGCTTTGCAGGCACACTAATTAAACCAAAATTGAATGTATATTGTTTTAAATGTTAAATATTTTTCAGTCATGTAATATGTACTCTTGCAATATTTTGCTTCACATCTTCTGAAATAATTGGTACAAGTTCATTAATCAAAGATTACTGCTATAAAAACCACAAAATTATCTATACACCTCTTCCAGTGGAAAGCCAGAGGATTGGAGGCTGGTAAAGCAGCAGTTAAATGTCACTGGTTTTGATTTTTATTACTTTTGGACAATAGTGCAATTCTTAATTAAAAAATCCTCAACCATATATTTTTTATAACCTTACCACTATGAAAAGAAAAAAGTTAATAGAACAACATTAACTGTGTGATTATCAAGAGAAAAAGAAAGAAAGAAAAGAAAGTCTACATACAAATGCTGTCTTCAGACTCACCTGGACAGATCCTGCTCAGAGACCAGATCAGACCTGCAGACTGGCTGTTGGGATCCGGACCGCCTCCTTAAGTACCCCCTCAGGTATCGACCCTCCGACAGACTTCCCTCTGATTTTATTGTTCTGATTATTTACCATGTCAACATGTTGAGTGAGGGATCAGATTTTCCAGCAGCAGTGTTGGTTTGTTTGACTTCCTTAATGAGCTCTAATTACCTGTGACAGCTCTCTGCTGTTTGTTCACATGAAATCATCCTCCCATCAATACAGAGTATTGATCCACAAACATGAGATTATATCTCTTTATTACTGTGATTTGTGCCTGTGTTTGCTCTGCCACAGCTGTTCCCAGTGGAGAATTTGACCTCAGAGAATTATTAGAAGGTTTTTGTGTCTTTGCGGACCCAACTGATAACTAAACTTATGAACTGTTACAGTATTACTTAGAAGACAGAGACTATTGTTGACATACTAAAGCACCTTTCCTTAGAGATTTGGGGAAAATAAATGCCTGTCCTGCCTATCTCTGCCTTCTCCTAGTGAGGGGTACCTAAAGAAATAACTTCTTTATTGATTCTGTTGCTGCCGACGTTGAAGTGTTGAACAATCTGAAAGGCTGTGAGGCTTATCAGTACTTCCTCAGTCATAAAATCCACCGTCTAGCACCTCTAAAGCTCAGTAATTAACATTTTATATCTAATTTCTTTGATCTGTACAAAAACAAAGTGTGAAAACAACAAAAATGCCATTATACAGATTTAAAAAAAAAAAGTGGTAAAACATGTTCATTAATAAGCTTTAGAGGTGTTAATAGGCAGACTTTGTTACCTTTGGATGGCTATTGTTTCCACCTGTTTCCAGAGTTTGTGCGATTCTGAGCTAACGGCTGTAGTTGGTGGTTTCATATTTACCATACAGACACCATGTTCATCAAGTAAGGAATCTAAATACTTCCTCCATCAGTGCTCTGATGTTTGAGTTAGATCTGAAGAATGAATAAAAGGGAGACATTTATTCTTCACTGCCTAAAGACTTTTTTTCTGTACTCACAAAGTATGGTCCAGTACGACGGAGTATTAGGGCCAGACTTAGAAATGTTAATTTTTTATTTTTTGGGAAATTACGAGAATAAAGTCATTATATTACGAGAATAAAGTCGTAATAATACGTGAATAATGTAATCGTTTTAATGAGAAAAAAGCTGAGTTATCAAGATCTGATGTGAGCAGCTCAACCAAACAGCAGCCTCAGCCTGAGCCCAGCAGCCGCTGTTTGTCTCAGTCGTACCGTACAGTCAACAGTTAAACTAACGTAACGTAAACTAATCGTGTAAAATTACGGCTTTATTCTTGTAATATAATTACTTTATTCTCACAATATTATGACTTTATTCTCGTAATGTTACGACTTTATTTCTCGTAATATTACAAGTTTATTCTCGTAATGTTACGACTTTATTCTCTTAACATTACGACTTTATTCTCGCAGTATTATGACTTTATTCTCGTAGACCTAATATTATGATTTTATTCTCGTAATATTGACTTTATTCTCATAATTTCCCCCCAAAAAATAATATTTTTTTCTCTTAGTATGGCCCTAATACTCCGTCGTAGTCCAGTACTCAGTACAGTACATGTTTTTTTACATTTAGTTTTTTTCCCACCACATTTCAGCATTTAGACCTCCATGTTGGAGTTACTGCAATGAATGAATGCAAGTTGGGCACTACTCAACAAATAACATATTTAGGGGATTTTTTAATTGAAAAAGTGTAACCACAGCCTCTGTAGGACATGGAACATAAAACATTATTTTCAACATTACGATAAATGCATATACAATTTACATTATAAACTGAATGTGTTTTTATATGCCCTTAAGTGTTAAAGGACGTATCAGAGTCCCAAAAGTAACACAGGAAATAAATAAATAATTTGGGCCTAAATAAGCATGATGAATTAAAAATCTAATTTGGTGTAAATTTAAACAAAACAACAAACAAATAGATCAATGGGATAAAGCATTTTCACCACTCATTTGTTAATTTATTTGTATATTTCTATATTTGTTATACCAGACCTCAGACCTGTTTAACTCCAGTTACCTCTTTGAAGGAACTTGGGAAGTCTGCCTTCCACTACTTTGCACCTTAATAAATGGGGGGAATTACAGAGGATTTTAAGACTTGAATGATTTTAAACTTTTAACTTTGAATCTTTGTGGTGATTTATATGCCTGTCTCAGATGCTGTATGCACTTTTGTTTGTCTTTCTGTATTTGTTTTTCTTTCCATCTGCTCTCAAGTCTCTCTTATATAATCTCTTGGTTATATATTTACTGACATATGTTTCTATTATTTTGTCTACCTCATTTATACCGAGTATGGTAGGCTGAATAACAGAAACATCTCTCTGTGCCTCCGAAAAGAATCAACACCTTTCTAAAGCATTTTCAACAAACACTGAACATTATAACCTTAATGAAAGATAGTATGTAGACAACACACACACAGTGTCTCACACAAAAGGCCATATGTGTGCTTCTAGTGAGCTAGTAGCTCCAGCAATCTCCCTGTGTTCCCAGAAGAGACAGCAGAGTCTGAGAGTCTGACTACCAGCTCTACATCCCATAGATGGAGTAGTGGTCAGTCAGTCTCCCCTGCGAGAATGGAGGATATTTACCAGCTGTGATGCCTGACAACAGGGCTGAGAGGTCAAATAAATGCATCATTCCCTGCAGTCCAACTGGGACTTCACCAGTGGTGAGTCTGAACCCAGGCGCCCAAATGCTGCAAGGACAGCGAGTTGGCAGCGTCTAGGGAGTGACTATGACAAGAGGAAGGTCTTTGGGGAAACATGAGAAGTCTAAACTGAAGTGGATGCTCAGGAGACGACAGAAAGATGTCCTGAAACAAACATGGAGCAGTGGCAGGAAATGAGAAGGTAAAATCATCAGGGACTTCCTGTTGGATATACTGTAAGGTTGTTTGGAGCATCTTGGAGGACAATGAATAGTGCTGGTCAGCTGATTGAGAGAAACTGCTCCATTAAATGGAAGAAAAGAAAGAATCCCTTAAATAACTTGTCAGCTACTGGAGCCATGTAGCAGAAACACATATAGAGAACTGATGTTAAGAATAGAATCACTGTACACATGGAATAGTTGAATACATTTTTAATTCCTGATAATGAAACAGCTACAGCAAAAGGTAAAGATCAGTTACAGCTCAGATTACAACTAGAGGTCGACTGATTCACTAGCTCAAATTAGTTTCCAGCGTCAGATTAAACTACAGTGTTGAAAATACTCCCTATTAGCTGGAGAGGTTTAAATTGGGAGAAACTAATGCTTCACAGAGCTAGATGTCTTTTTTGAATTAAAAAAATTAAGAAAGAAATGAAAAATCACTTTGGACATAATGTTTATTTTGAAATTGTAGCGATAACTAATCAGAAAGACAATTAAGACTAATCATTATTTGCAGTACTAGTCCTTAATTCTTCATGTTCTACATGTTGTTTGTGAAATACCTAACACGACACTAGAGATGACTTGGTTATATCTGTAATTCTACCTGTTACAATCGCGCTTGGTCCCAGTCACAGCATTTATATCAGCAACATTTAATGTCAATTATAGTTATATCTGCAATTAGTGGATTCGCTATTGGGAGTTAAATTAATTTGTGAGAAGCCTTTGCATAGACTCTTAACTTTGACATGCAGAGCCGTGCTGATGATCACATTCAAACCGTCTTGACAGTGTCGACCATTGACAAATGCTTGAAATAAGGTTTTCACCTTTTGTTGTATGACACAAAATATGCCAGTTAATTTCCCACTTCTGGGTAGGCCATGCTAAAATACGTCATGTGCTGACTTAGCTTAGCTTGTTGGCTGTGTGTCCCCAACCAGTTTTATTAAACTTCCGCTGTCACAGTATAAACTGTTCCACAACAGATACGGTTTATAGACAATTAGGAGACTAGAGTCGATGGTACAAATGTGTGAGTTCATCGTCCCATTGCTGAATGCAGAGTTTGTCAACTCTTTGTTGAATAAAATGATGTACAGTCCTACGGCCAGTGTGCCTCTTTCTGGTGTGACCAGGAGTTTTCAGTCTGTACGATTTATGAAAGCGACATTAGCTAGTAGAAAACCAGCTAACTTTGCTGGTTGGACAGGTTAGCTACTGCATGTTAGCAACTGAGCTAGCTATGTGGGCTATTATGGCTGGCTAGGACCAGCATGTTCTTGGCTAAATAGCATGTTAGCGGTCAGCTCACCAGCTACCATAGCTGGCCAAGTATTTACTACGTCACAAAGCTTCCAGCAATGTCTATTTCATGAAAACATGCAAATGAATCAGCTAGTTTCTGGTTTAATTAATAGTAACAGCTCGCTAAATGTAAATTTGTACCCTCTCCTAAACTCCACTTTAGTCATCTGTCATCAGTCGACCTCTGTGTGTGCGCATTTAACACATTTGGTTGGTACTGTTCGGGGGTTTTACAGCAAACATTCAGACTCTGATTGTACATCAATACAACAGTGACAGATAAATCAACATAAGACAGACAGCTGAGCTAAAGATCTTCACAGGTCCACTAGGTTCCTACTAACTGAGGTTTGACCTGAGACCCAAGTAGGGCCGGGTTCACATTACTGTCAGTCTAATCAGGTCTGTAAGGTATCCAAGATTTTGGACCTCTGAAGACCTCTAGGCGAAGCTCAAACTGTCACATACAGACAGCTACATCATTAAACCCCGGCTGGTATTTGGTCAGATTGAGCTCAGAAGAAAGCTGAAAGCTGATGTTTTAGAGCACCGTGAGCGGCTACTGGTTCCCTCCTCTGTCAGTTTGTGTTAACATTAGCAGAGAGGAAACAGGACTGCTGGACAACAAACAAACAGAATCTACACTGTGACAGTCCAGTGCTGATACTCAACTTCCTGTCCGGTTCATCTCAAGGTCAGTTCAAATTATTTTCCAAAACACTGACAGAGTTTCAGGTGGATTAAATGGAGACAATCATATTCATTCAAATCTATTTGGAAGCTGCAATGTTTTGATGAGTTTGAGATCCTTAGTGCCATACCGGTAGTGGAGCAAAACTGTACAGTTTGTCCTGAGGATGGCGCTAGATGTAAGGTCAATGGATAATTACAGTCTAAAGGGTTCATCCTCTTGAGATCAGGCCATTTTATGATAATTTAAACAGATATGTGGACAGAACTGATGGACATTGCCATCCTGAGGCTTAGTGAAGTAAATGCAACTTTGCTATGAATCATATTATTAAAGAATATGGAAAAATAACATTAATGGTGCTGCTACATGTAGATTGTATTTTGTGGACACCAAAAAGCAGCTGCTACAGAGACAATTAACATCAGGCTACGACATGCTCAGAGCCGTCCACTGTGAACTTACCTACAAAGATTCAAAAATGAAAAAGACTCTACACTGAACATGCTGGTGGTTGAATATCAACACTGGACATTACAGTGCAGCTTCCGTCACAAGTTCAAATCAATAATGTGAACCTTCCATACAACACAATAAAAGTCCAAACCGAGTTTTGTAACTAGCAAGTTAAATGATCCTTCACAGTGAGACTGATTCATTTATACACAAAAATGTTTCTATCTGTGGTTAAACATTTAAAAACTGTGTACTCGGAGAGGCCCGTCCATACCCTTTATTGCAGCCATTCCAACCTTTTTGAACTGTGACCTCTAAAAACAAAGCTATGTCTACTTATGAGCCCTCGTCACAGCTTGCATATGTCTAGATTCCAGTCCAGATTGTTTTATTTTAATTATTACGACATAAACTTCTGTGAAGCTATACTTAGACACAGTGGTGCTTTGAGCTCAACGGTAACAATGACAAAACATGCTAATGTTTAGCCATTAGATGTTCACCACCTTAGTTTAGTGTGTTAACATGCTACAGCCGAGGAGGACAGGAATGGTATTTGGTCTCAAACCAAAGTATTGGACCAATTCAAATTAACATTTGACTTGATGGTGGCACTACATGAAAAGAGGATGATCAGTTATTACAATTTGTAATAAGAGGAAAGTGGATGTTAATATTAACTTTTATTTCAATCAATCAAATAGTTGTCTGGACAAAACAGTTTCCTGACCCCCCAGCTTGGGCACCACTGCTTCAGTATTGGTTTGGTCTTTTGTTGTATGTGAATCTTATTTTAATCTTGTATGTAATTTAAAGTTACAGCTATGCCTTCAACTCATTGAGAAGTCAGAATATCTGCTGTTTAAAACACTGGTGTTAAAGCAGTACTTCTCGTTCTCTTTAGCACTTGATCAGATTTGTATTCTGTGTTTACTCCAGCTGACCTCATTTGCATAACAAGCGGAAATGGAAGATTGAAAGATGAAAACATTCATGTGTGCGCTGCTCAGCTTGCTCAGCCACGACCAGCTTGACTGGCACAAGATTTTCTTCACTAGAATTAAAATGTAAGATTTTTTCCTAAATTGCTGGGAATTGAAATATGTAAAAATACAATTTCATAGTTACAAGTGAGCTCAGATCTTCCTGAGACACGTGAGAAACATGGAGTACTGGAGTTTATTCTAATGGACCTGTTTGAGAAGCATAATGTAACAGAAACCTTCTTGCAGCTGAATAATTGGGATGCTTCAATAGTGGAAAATAAATCTCCTGTCAGCATTATTTTCTGTACTGAACATGTGCAGCGGATTTACTTTCTACTCATGTGAATGAGAATCCATCCCTGATCCCTAATGATCACATGACTGTAGGAATGGCTGGCAGGTGTCTGGCATCCTTAAAACATGTAACAGACCATTCAAAATCCAAGATAAGTTTTGATTATTCAAAATAATTACAACTATTTAAAAAGTGCAAATAAGCTATAATTTATGTAACAATCTCCAATCTACTTATAAGCTGAATAAATACAAAAACTCTCAGTCTGTTCTTATCTGCACCAGGACTACAGTTGAGAGTCCAAGATAATAGAGAACAGCTGACCTCTTCAGTCTAGTAAGAAAACATCTGAAGTCTGTAACAAGTAAGAATGTAGCCGGTTTAATTCCAGCCTTTGTTGCATGTCATACCCCTCTTTCTCCTCCTGTCTGCTTCTGCCTCTTCTGTTTAATAAAATCCCCCACCAGACCAAAACAAATCCAATCTCAGGCACCTACAAGACCGAGACACAACAAGCTTTTCGGACAATAGTCCATCTTGCGTTTTCCACCTACAGCAGCTTTTTACACATTTTGTTACTCTAACAGGCAACATTTGTAACCTCAAGGTAACATCATGGAGTCATGGTCTCTGGATTATGGGGGAAAATATTATCAAACGGCACTTTCAGAACTGTTCAATATTAAAAATAAATCAGGTGCCAGACACCCGGCAACCATTCATCTGTTCGCATCAAAACAACAACCTCAACAAATGTGAGGGTGAAGCTTTACTCTCTGGGTCAATATTTTCCTGATTATATCCTAATAGTTTCCAAAGAATAGATTTAAAGGTATTCACGGCATTTTAGTTAAACTACACATCACATCCTGTCTGTGAGGAAACAATTTCTTGGTTTTTCGCCGTACTGCTGAACGATGTGTCCCATGATGGCAGCAGCAGAAGTGATGTAGGCAGAGGCTGAAGACACAGTGACGACTCCAGTGTCTGACAGGGAATAATGGGGGCGTGGGTCTATATTGCACAGGGGTTGGTGAGATCCTCGAACACCGTCGGTTCTTCGATCCCTCGTGCAAACAGCTTGATCAACTGGCAGTGCACGCTGGGAAAAACAAAGAGAAGATTTAAAAAAAAAAAAAAAGAAAAGAAAATAATTACCTAAAAACCTGAAATATTTGACAATACAAAGCAAGAAACTCCCACAGGGTCACGTTACCGGACGTCGATGGCCGTGTGGGTCAGAATCTCGCCGTCGCAGTTCCAGCTGCTGTAGGCGGGGGCACAGCCGCAAGCCGGATGGTCTCGGCATATCTGGCTGAAGATCTGGCGTTTGCCATTCTCTCGCAGGTCCAGCTCCAGGTCTGAGTCGGTCTGGCAGTAACGTGGTGTGAAGCGGAAACGCCGCACCCGGTGGACCTCAACGAAGGTCAGGTCAAACTGGTGGAGACAGAACGACGGAAGAAGACAGTGAGGGAGGGAAAGCAGGTGTTGTTTGGGATCGGAATCAAATCAGTTTTTAAATTTAATTTGATTTAAATTTAAAAGGTTTCATTGGTTTTATTGTAAATAATGTGCTAGATCAGTGGTTCCCAAGGGACCCTGTTTCTATCATTTAAATGATATTTTGTATTATATTCAAAAACTATGCAATGAACCCAAACAGTGAACTGCAAGAAGTTTGACTAAAACAAGTGATTTGAATGAATTTTGAGCATATTATTATATGTTTATACAATTCTTTGTCTGTAATATGTATTTTAGCCAATAGTCAATTTACTTTACATTTAGATTTCTTTACAGAAGTGAACCAGATTGGGAACCACTGAACTAGATTATGGATTTATTACCTGGTCATCTTTGCTGGTGTGTCGGAGGAGGTGTCTGAGGAAGTCGAAGCGGGAACATTTTCGGACCAGGATGAGGTCGGTGGTGCCGTCGGCCAGGTGAGCAGCAGGTGAGAGGCCTTTGGGGCTGCGAGGACAAGCACAGCTCATACTGGCAGCGTTTATAGCCAAGAACTTCCCTCGGATTGTCCTCCACTCGCCATCACTCTCTGGAACCAAAACCCCCAAAAGACAGATTTGACCTTTCTTGCTGTTGCTGCTGCCAAAACTTCATCACTCCGGGTTGGCTTTTATTGAGGAAAATGTTATTTATACAATATTCAGGGTTTCAGGAGTACAGCCACAGTCAACAATGAATAAATTCAGAACTTCTAAAATAAAATCAGATACCAGTATTGAGAGGAAAAGTTGAGCAATGAGAGACAGTAAGTCCATTTTAATATAATATACTGAATAACTTGAGGTAAGTTGAAGTTGAAAGTTTATTCTTGACCTGGGAAATGTGATCTAAACCTCCAGAACAGCTACTAAATTGAACTTGAGGTGAGACTGTTGAGTCAATTGTAGTTTCCAAGGTCAAGAATGAACTTGGTAGTGCTTCACATTGTGCAAGCAACCATTTATGGATTAGAAAAAACGTCACTGTAAAGTATAATTTTGGAGATTTTGTGAAAAAGCTCTGCGCAATTCTGTGAGACAACTGGTTCGAATTCTTCAACTGATCGCGCACACTCCGATATACTGAGGAACTTCCAGCGAGCATGCATTACACAGCGTGGAGTTTGGCGTTGACTTTAACAAGGTATTATAATCAAAGTAGTTCTTTTCATGTCCACAATGGTAATTTTACCTTCATGTGACTATCTTGTGGTGTGCCCCATGGTTCCATTCTTTTATTTCCAAATATAGTATATACAGTATTTAGTTAAGTATAACCTGTGTATTCTGAGATACAACAAGAATCAATGTTTTGGAGTTTTTTGGTAGGTGTATTTCTATCACTTTGAACAGTTTTCCCCTGCTTCCAGTCTTTGTGACCGATTGCTTTTCAGTAAAAATGTGTGAAAAGATATCTAGTTCAAAGACTGATTTTCTTTTTAACTGTGGTTCTACAGATGAGGATTTGTTGGACTCACCGCTGTCTTCATCCATTGTGTAATTCTCAGCTCTCTTTGAAAGTAGCTGCCCGTTGTGCTGACAAACCACACAGCTGGAAATTTAGAGACACACCAATGTGATTTCAAAAAAGGCATAAAACAATAATGAGATTACGCAACAGTTTTAGTTACTAAACTGTTAGATCATATGAACCAAATCAATTCTTTTTTCTCTGTTAAACTAAACTTAACTTGAACAGAATGAAACTTTTGCAACTTATCTGACCTGGACAGAGTTGGATACTAAATAAATTTTTTGTCTTTTTTGTTATTTTGATTAAAATACATAGTTTACATTTATATAGCATCTCACTTACCCAGATCGACACTTGGCGGTGTCACGTGGCGTTCCTACGATGCCTCTGGCCGGCAGGTAGGACACTGTTCCTTCATAGTAATGATGAGTCAGGAACATCTTCACACCTGCAAAAGTCAGAGCATCAACATGAAAGTTAATTAATGTGGCGGACCAAGGTTTACTCTCATCCTCTCTCTGTTTATATGAGAGATACCTAACCTGTTAATCGCACCTTTTAATGTTCTAATACTCTTTAACATTCATTTCTGCTGTCTTTCATTAGTTGTATTGCTGTACAGTGCGTCCTGCACTGTGTTTTTATTTTTTAGATTCAGGATGAACCAAGAGAATAAACCTAATAAACTTTTAATGCTTTTTATTTTACTTTTGTATCCTTTTTTTGCAATCAGGTCTGATTCTTCAAACAGACTCTGTGTGTGCTGCTCAATTTTCTGGATACATCAAACTATAACTGAATGATTATGACTCATGGTATGGGTGAGATAATGCACTTTAAGGTGTCCATAATGAGGA